GATCATGATTATCCTTGATTACTTGTGATCGTTGGTCCTTTGAAACAACTTTTAGCCAATCTTCCTGTGGACTCCTAAGATCAGGGTACCTCAAGTTTGCTCTTTTATACAAGATGCCCGATTGGATTCGCCACAACGGATATTTCGATGAATTATCTGCGACAGAGGATAACATTCGCAGGTACCATTTGTCTTGAGATTGAGGAGGTAAATCGGAAGGAACGTTTACAACATTAAGGCTTGGAACTGAACGAGAAAGAGTATCAGGTACAACATGCTCTTTGCCTTTTCGATGGATAATTTCAAAATTGTACTGTTGCAAGCGGACCGCCCACCGGGCTATTCTGCCTACCGGATCTTTAATATTATATAGCCATTTGAGGCTGTAGTGGTCCGTTATAACAGTAAATTTGGTCCCCTCGATATAGGGTCTTAATTTCTCAATGGCAAATATGACCGCCAAACACTCTTTTTCGGTAGTACTAAATCGCCTTTCATTTTTAGTGAGAGATCTACTAAGATAGCAGACTACCTTCTCCCCATCTTCATGTTGTTGGCTTAAAACTGCACCCAAACCAAAATCTGAGGCGTCCGTTTGGATGACGAAAGGTAAATCAAAATTTGGACAACAGAGAATTGGAGCAGAAACCAGATGATTTTTCAGGTTATCCAAGGCTTTCTGACAATACTCATCCCACACGAATTTGGAATTCTTTTTAAGAAGATTACACAGAGGAGAGGTTAAATCCGAGAAGAATAATTTCTGACCCGTAACAAGACATATACCTGGATTTCATTTTTTATTTAAACCATTACACAAGTTTTAGAGAATGTGCGTGCCAAATGTCAAAAACATATACATTGGTAACTTATGAGTTAAGAAAAAAAATGCAAAATTGATATTCTGGTTATAAAGCACGAAAGATCTAGGTCCATAGTTAACGAATGTGTCATTTCCAATGAAACATCCCGTATAAAAGCACAATATCAAATAATTTTGTTGAGAGTACCCTGGAATAGAGCTGGGTAAAGTGCTTCAAATGTCAACCACCAAGATCAAGTACTTATTTCGAAGAGTGCTTTAAAGTAAAATTACCAAATACATTTATTTGTAAATTTGCTTATATACCGAACACAGTATTTAAAAAATAAAGCACAAAGTCCTTTAAGGGCTTCAAGTAATTATTAAAAAGTATTTGAAGCTAGTAAGGATTTTAAGTATATAAACCATTTTGCCACGAATGAAGAGAAAACAAACCCTTCTAAATTATAAAATGGTACGTACCACATACTTTGATTATTAAACGGTGCAAGAGAGAGGTCCGACACGCTCAACATAGGGCGCGGCCATTTTGATGCCTTTACCACAGTTTATAGCTATAGAATCAGTTCGCTCACTCTGCGTCGGCACTTTTGATCTCAATGTTCCAGTTTATACACTGCGCAACTCGGATAATACAATATATGACAACCGCCTACAATAAAACAGCAGTTTTCTGCGCATCCTGAATTTGCATCCCTGGAGTGGATGTTATTTTGGAACTTTCAACTGGTCCGAGTGAGCTAACTGATTCTTCAGCAATAAACTGTGACTCTACTTCTGCTTCCGGAATTGTCGGTTTAGTCGTTTTAACCTGTCAGATTAAAACAAGAAAACCGACAATTCCGAAGCAGAAGCGGATGATTAAAACGCACCTATTAAAAATATTGCGCCGAGATATAGGCAACACGTAATAAAGCATCAAAATGGCGGAGTTTTCTATCTCCTTTTAAAAGGCACTCAGAAAGCTGCGCAGTGTGACCATTCTCCGTATAGTAAAAGAAAATCAAAGTATGTGGTACGTACACATTTAGTTTCATATAATCATCAAAATATTTTTAATTATTTTATTGTTTCCTGAAGAGGACAGCTATATATAGGTCTAAGTCGTACCTTCTGGTGTCCCTCATATACTAAATTTCAAGGTATCAATCATACAACTTAAGGAGCGCAAACCTTATGTAAGTCTGGCACTTTTTGTCCATAACAAGATCACGTGTCATGACGACATCTGACACCTATCAATATTATTTGTCATCAGTTATATTGGGCATTCCAACGGCCTATCAAAATTACTTACTGTACCAGATGAACGTCGAAAGTTGTGTCAGTCGAAAATTCAGATCACACTATTACATCAATGATGTTTTTGTTTCTTATTAATTGAATAGATTTTCTAGAAGCTTCCCAGGTAGGAAACTGTAAATTGGTTGACTCTGCCATATCTTTCATATTAACCTTTGCCTTTTGAACTTCAATATTTGGAGGATCGGGAGCATGGTTATGTTCTGTAGTCGGTTTTTTTTTTTTTTTTTTCATAACCGACAACAATTAATCAACCTTTACATCCACTTATCGTACATCTCCATGTCGTCGAATAAGCATTTTCCTTGTCTCTTCGAAATCTAAATTCATCAAAAAACAAAATTTTCCCACCTATTTGGGATTTGCTGTATTGTAAATCATCTATGGTTGGGGATACTAGCGCTAGCTGCGGATAATTCGTGCCTTTTAGGGCGATATTTTGTAATTTTAGTATATCAAATACATGTAAACATTTTTCTATTTTTTCAAAAAAGTAGGTAAAAACAATACAATAAGCAACCGGAGTTGCTGTGTTGATAATTGTAAAAATAATAACAAAAAACACAGTGTACATTATAAAAATTTTCAGTAGCAAAGTGGAAATTAAATCAAAAAAATACATGGATAGGTATGTGTACAATAAGAAGAAAAATTACCTTTATTTTTGTAATAATAACAGTAATACTGGAAATAGTAGACATTAGAAACTTAAAAGGGTTTAAATAAACAATAAATATAATTTCATGATGTTCTTTAACATCCCTTTAGTATTAAATGTTCATGGAGCAAGAACAAGATTTCTGCCTTTGATTATTGTATGTGGCCTTAATGCAATTTTAAGAGTTACTGATAGAAAACCAGTTTTAATCATTCATTCTATGTTTTATTTCGAATAAAATTGAAAATATAAATAACAATCCTTCACGCTAATTATTTAAAGATATTTTGATATTTTGACAGAATAAGTTCATTTTTCAAAGACAAATACTGTTGCCTGCCTTTATTCTATTTTCGATTTTTATTGAATATACTTATTTTTTAAGTTTAAGCAATAAAAATATATAATAATAATAAATTAATGTTTTACTTGTTTTACAAACCCATATACTTTTGTTAAAACTAACATATATACTTTTTAATTACGAATTCTATTAAAAATTGTATTGTCAGTATAGGCAAAAATAGTCCATTAGTACAAAAGTGTAACCTAAGCATATAGTAAATTATTTAACAAATTTGATATGAGTAATTGTTATTAATCTGTAAATTACTTCCACTAATTTGAATACTTTGATTTGGGGGTGGTTAGTCTACGAGACTATGGCAAACAATAAATATGTACGCGCTAATTTTTCCTGCGTTATTTTGACTGAGCGCTTTCTTAAACTCTCGCTATTTTATCATCACTCTATTACGTCCTAGCGCCATTTTCCCGGCGCTATTTTATATGATCGCTTTTTGTAAGTGCGCTATTTATTCTTGCGCTGTTTTATCCTGGCGCTATTTCTTTTGCGCTAATTGGTCCTATCTTGCGCTATTTCGTGGCGGTGCCATTAAAATGATTTATTTCTACATCACACTTTCACAAAAATGTTTGGTGTTATTGTACCTTTTCCACATATATCTTCTATTATTACAATTTTTTAATTGTAAGAGAGCTTATAATTCAAAGTAAATATCACCGTAAGTTTATTAATTATAAAGATGTAACAAAAATTTTTGTAACTTCTGAATGTCATCGTACCAAAGAAAATTTTGTTAAATTTACAAATAAATATGTTTTTATAATTAGTCCAATAAATTGTAGAAACCATATGAGATTGTCCTCCTTTCCTCTGCACTCCATACTTTGGGCTTTACCAGGGTCAATGATATTATAGTTATATAGGTTGCTCAAAGTGAGTCGCATTGCGAACGGCCATATTGCAAAAATGTGTTTTAGAAACAATTTTCAGCCTTTGGATATAGTAAAAAATAGTTATTTACATTTTTACTTCAAGGCATAAGCCGAGAATGCATAAAGCTTATGTTTATTTTGAAAATCATGGCCCACATGTTTGCCATATCAATGCAACCATTTTATTTGGAATAAGGTGTGTTCTTTTATTCAACAATTGTTCCATCAGTTATTGATGTCATGACGTCACTGATTAAGTTCTGGTGGAATGTATTTGCGCTGAATATAAGAACGAACGACATTTCTCAAATGAAAATTTTGACGTTTGACATCGCTTTAAAAATTAAATCCATTTTAATTAAAATTAACAGTAATTTATTTCTTCTGTAGCCGTTTTATAATTAAACTCTTATATTGTAGGTTAACTTTTATCTAAATAATCGTGTTCACACGTTCAAACAAATTGATTAACTATCCCCTCCCTTCATCCATCACATATCCATCGGCTTTTAAAGCCGATGGATGCGTTTGCTCATTGATGAACTCACCGCTGGAAAAAAGAACGACTGACATATACAATCTTCTTTCCATCGCTTAATTTACGAACAATTTGCTGCAAGCGCTGGACACAGCGCTGAATAAAAGAACACGCCTATACCTAATGTGTGGTTGAAAGCTATTATATTTAACGCTAGATGGCGCTACCTGTCATTTATCATGTTATCTGATATTATGCAATCCACCATACATTATTAATATTATTTTTATGTATTAAATTAAAAAGCATATATAATGAGTAGTAATCCAAAAAATGCTTTTAAAGTAGGCCACAGGACTATTATATGTTTTAAAGAACAGTTTGAATTTAATCCAGAGGCGTTCGTAGTTATCACGGACGTGACTCCAATCTCTGATGCTTTTGTCAGTCTTGACCTACTTTAGAAACTTTTTTGTTGATTAGTCGCAAGTTCAACTTACAGGAAATTTGCTGGAATGCGTATGTAGTCCTTGGGAGGTAACCGGGCTGGAGGTAGCGATCGGGGGTTCTAGCACAGCGGCGCCGGGGATACTCGGTTCGTTGTACAAGGGGTATGGGGGCATCCTGTAAGGAGGAGGAGTGGCGCCGCTTGATTGTCGAGTTTCTTGCACTTGTCCTGGCTGTTGAGTGAGTGGTTTTGGAGGAGGAACTGGTTTGTAAGGCCCATAGCCTTCCACCTCAACTGAAAAAAAAAAATAAATTAAATTACCTATGTAATCTAACTTTTTAGAAATATTTATAGAAGTTGCATAGTTTTTTTACTAGTAAATATGATTAAGAAAAGTTAACAAGTGACGCGCTAACTTATGTTTACTAGGTTGACAGAACCAAAATTGTCGGATAGAATAGATAGGATTTGTTTATATGGAGTTTGTCCATGACATAATCCTAACGAGACGACAATCAGATGGTCTTAGGTATCTTCTTTCAAAAAAATTGTATTTTTTTACTGTTAATAATATTCCTACACAGAAAAAAATTATCATCTACATTCAAGAAAAGCTTTACACTTGGAAGATTACATTTATTTGAAATAAAGCAGAGTTTGCTTCAAATAATATTTCTCGATACAATAAGAAAATAAATGTTGAGTGCAGTATAGGCATAATCTTGTATTTTAAGAGTTATAATAATTAATGTGAGAATAAATTAGAAAATATTTACAAAAGTGTGTCATCAGGACTTTACTTTTAACACCCTGTATCTCGGAAAAGAAGCATTTTTGAACCTATGTTTATATAAACTTTTACTCCTATTTTACGCTGTTAAAATATGACCGTCTAATTTCGGGACATAACGACTTTTTGAATATTAAAATTGTTTCTTTAAATTTACCTTTGATTCAGAAGAATTATTGAAAGTATTAGGTTATCAAGATTTGAACATGAAATAATTTTTATAAAAAATTATAAATGAACCCTCCCGAATCAGTCGTCTGGCTTATGATGCATACAAAATATTAGGCTACGGACTATTTGTAATATTCATAGATACCATTCAACATTCATCAAAACTTCTTTTAACCATCAAAATTTTTTAAATGAGTCACATATCATATTATTAAATTCAACTTAATTCTCAGATGGTTGTCATTATGGAGTGTTGTCACCAAATCCATCAACTTGATTGTGTTGATGCACTGATTGATCACGTGACATAACCTTAAATAATTATTAATTATTATTAGACAGTAAGGAAATATCGCTTAATTCTTTGCTCTCAATATTAATTAAACTGGGTTTTATTAACCCACTCTTCAAGTGGTCCAACTTTTAAAATAAGATTGTCAGTGTTAGATATACAGCAAGCAAATGGAGGCAAGTACATATATTTTTTCAATTTTATTTCTCATAGATATTATAAATTTGGATTTAAATTTTCTCAAAACATATTAAAACATATTTAATTTAGATATAATATATTTTATCGCCAACCGTCATTAAAGACATGCATTACCATAGCTATTTGCGGAACTAAACAAACACTGTAGTTCACTGTAAAAATTAAATATTTAATCTGCCTCTAATATTTATCAACAAAGCCATGACCGTATGACATAAATCAGAAATAGTCTGTAACTGATTTGCGTTCGCTGTTATTTTTTGTTTGTTTATTTTGTCATACTAAAATATGATATTATAATATCTCCTTTTTTGTTAATTATAATTGTTTACGGTTGGCGATAAATGTTTATATGGACCATATCAGCAAAGTCTCTTTATCGAACTCGCTTGCGACTCGTTCAAAATCCCAGACTAGTTCAATAAAGAATCACTTTGCTGACTTTGTACATAAATAACTATTATTTTCATCAGATAAAAATTAGGATTGCAGCAGCCGGCCATTTTGTGATCACATGATCTATCAACAGTACATCATTTTGTTGAATTAGAAACGCCTAATAGGCATGAAGGTAAATCTATCTTTGATACTATTATAAAAATTGATAGAACCTATAATTATTTAGGTATAAACTATATGTGGCTTAAAGTCTTATTATTTAACTACATTAACTTTATTTCTAGATGTATATTATATAATAATAAGTGGTCTAGAGCTAAAACAGTTTATAAATTATACTCATAAATATACAAGATCATAATTGTAACTGATTTCCTCTGTTCGACGATCTGTGACACTATGATATTATTAATTATTAACATAATAAGAGCTATTGCACAGAACGAACTCTTAAATGATTACTTCTTTTAACAGTGCTTGTCAAATTACACTCTAATGAAGTCATCGTTTTCTTTTTTTCGAATAATCCCCTTTTTACACGAAATGTTCATTTACAACAAAAATATTTGCATGTACAGGGTGTTTCAAAAAACATGTGTCATCGTTCGTGAGGTGCTTCTTTGTCTATAATTAAGAAATTGTTTCTATGAATATAGGCCCGGAGATGCTTCGTTTCCAAGATACAGGGTATTCCAACTTTACAATCACTAAAAAAAAATAAAGGGAAATTTGGAAAACCATCGACATTATCTAAAAATTAAAAAAGATGGATTAGCATACTAGATTTTTTACGAATTTATTTTAAGCTTAATATGATCAAAAAGTGAAAATATAGTAACGTATATATTTTTTGTTAAATGTTATTAAAGCACTCGTTTACACGCACGCGCTATGTAAACCAGTTTACATCTTTTAAGTGCTAAAAAATATGCTTTTTTAGGTACATTGTACAATTCAAATCGATAAAATAGTTTCGAAAATATAAAAGAAAAACAAATGAAAATAATAAATTTTTGAAACAAAACATCTGCGAGTCCATGTTGATGGGAACTATTTGTCTTATTTTTGGGTAAGGAATCACCCCACAAGTGATGACACATGTTTTTTGAAACACGCTGTATATATACGGAACTCTTAATTTCTTACAGACATTTCTAGAAGTTAATAAATGTTATTCTTATTAAATTAAGAATAATTGTATTAGTAACACTCTGTTGAGCTGGATACTAATATGGCAGATATAACAATGTGAATATAATATAATAATACGCATGGTGAACTATCTTTCTTAATATGGTATATGTGTATTAAAACAAAATATTTTTTTTTATCCATTGGGGGAACTTTTTTCTGATGGAATAAATATGTGAATATAATGAAATGTTTTTATGACTTCATATTCACCTTGCATAGAGGCATAAAAGCCTACTTTGGATAATGATCGTAGTAAAAATATACAGGGTATTTAAATAATAATTGTCCATATGGTAACTGAAGAATCCTTAATCAAAAATATGAAGATTTATTCGAAAATACTTAAATAATAGAATATATCAGTCTAATCTATTAAATTAAAGTAAGAACAACCTATGTCTTAACCTAAATGAAGAGCATTGTAATCCATCTACAAACTATTTACTCTCCAATCAACTCAAATAATTTCATTAAATTAAAGGCTCCCCCAGACCAACACGAGACGGGTGAGAATATTCGCTCTGCCGAATACTGTTTAAACGGTAACAAACCAACATGTTCAGACTAGCGCAAATTTTATCGCTTTATGCTATTACATTAACTATTTTGCTGCGAATTCTTCATTGTGGTTTCACAGCGAACATTCGCGTTAGTTTGTGGGACTCTTAAAGATCAAAAATAAAAAAAAAAGATCTTGGTATATGTCACCTAATATTATGGGGTCTATTCTGTAACAATTCCTTTATATTTAACGGCCTTTAAAAATATTTTCTTCTTTACTTCTGTCATTATTTAAACGGATCTTTAAAATACATTAGAGTACTATCTTAAAGAAATCTGTTTAAATAATGACAGAAGTAAATTAACGAATACAAATATACTTTTAAAGGCCACCAATATTTTTAAAGGCCGTTAAATATAAAGGAATTTTTACAGAATAGACCCCTATTTACTATTATTGTAGGATCATTGGCATAATAATACTAATTATTCAACACTTGTGATTATTAATTAATATTATTTATAAAAATCAAGTAATAAATATTTTTCTCTATGGTACTGTATATATAGAAACCTACCCAAAGTTTTAGTTTTAACCACTCTAGCAACATCACCAGTAGCCTTGATTTCAACGTCCGGAGAAGAAACTGGATTCAAAGACGTCTGCGATCTTCTTAACCGTTCACCGTGCTTCACTTGTCTTACAGTTCGGCCTGTTGCCATCAGATGGCGACATGCTTCCGAATATTTTAGGTTAGCATTTTGTCTTTTCGAAATCGTGAATGAGGATTTTTAATTACTTTGTCATATTAGCTCTGAACTCTGAATGATTAAGAAAATGTAATATTGGTTGTATGTCATTTAAAATTTTGCCCTAAGTATGATTAGTTTGTTTTTAAGAAACTTTAAAAATTAGGATTTGTTATTGTTAGAGCGGAGTTTGATTAGATTCATGCGACACCATGTTTTTTGACAAACCCTGTACGTTTCAGAAGTATACTTTTCGGCAAAAGTTGAAAGAACATTTTCCAATTTTATAATTTATGTATTATACTTTTGTTATAATGAAAAACGAGGGATTGTTGTGGTTCTTTCAGGCGCTTCTATAGATAATTTGTTACAGGGTGTGCTTAAAATGTTTATTTTATAAAGTATCTTTCTAAATTATTACTAAATATTATACTGAATTGATCTTGCATTTATTAGAGCAGAAACAATTAAAGATATTTAACTTTTTCTATTTTAAAATCACAAAAAAAAGATTAATTTTTAACAAAAAATATTTTTTTAACTCTATGATGCATGATGACAAGCGTTTATTTACTCTATCTCATACTTTTCGAAATGAGTTAGGTATTTTGGGCCTTGGCAATCTATCTGCATATGCCCCTGGTATGTCACTTAAATAAACACAGATCTATGCGATCTAATTAAAAGAGATGTACAAAGTATTGCATTCTGGGAGGCCGTGACTCAATATTTATCTACGTCCTAATTCTCTATCTAGAGTATCGATCCAATAAATAATTCCTTACATATTTAACAAAGCTAATTGCATTCACTGTAAAATGAATAAAAAAACTTGTGATTGTGATTTGATATATACTCAGTATCTCGAATAAACTATAATATATAGAGATGAGGTTAAATGGGGAAAAGCGTATTTGGGAGGAAAATAAACTGGCACAACTAAAACTGTAAATCCAGAATCGTATCTGAAATATTTCAAATAAATTAAAAATTATA